CAGCGGGGAGACGGGAGGGGTCTGCCGCGCCCTGTGGTCACCGCCAGGGCAGGCGGGGATCGAACTCATGCGGCAGTGGCTTGAGCTTCTCAGTGCTCTAACCCGCTGTGCCGCCAGGGAGGGCCCTGATACATCTTTCTTAAGAAGATGGCAAGACCTAGCATTCCGTACTGACCAGTGGGCACCGCAAGCTGTGCCCCCGCCTGCCCATGCTTCCCATCCTCCTTCAGACGACCTCCCCCGGGCACAGCGCCCCGGGGCCAGCGAGGCGGCCGAGAGTCTGGGCCGGGGCTGCATGTGGGACGTGGCCGGAGAGGACGGACGTCGCTGGAGGGTGTTCCGAACGGGACAGCGGGAGCAGCGGGTGGACATGACCGTCATCGAGCCCTACAAGAAAGTCCTGACTCACGGAGGTAGTGGCTGGGCTTCCTGGCCGAACGCCTGCCCGGAGCGCCCGCACCTCGCGAGACGCCGGGAGCCCGGAGCCGGCTCCCTGACGGCCGGCGTCCCTCGCCCTCGCAGGCTACCGCGGTGACGGCCTCGACGCCGTCATCCTCTTTGCCTCCTGCTACCTGCCCAGCAGCAGCGTCCCCAACTACAGCTACGTCATGGAGCACTTGTTCAGGCAAGCGGGGGGTGGTCGGGGCCGGCCGCGGTCACGCCCGAGGGTGGCTCTGGGGCGCGCCCCGGGCGCCCTGGACCCAGCGACCGGCCTCCTCTGGCAACTTCCCCCCCCAGGTATATGGTGGGGACCCTGGAGCTGCTAGTGGCCGAAAACTACCTGCTCGTCCACCTGAGCGGAGGCACCAGCCGGGCACAGGTGCCGCCTCTCAGCTGGCTCCGCCAGTGCTACCGGACGCTCGATCGGCGGTGAGCCTCTGGGGGCCGGGCCTCTCGCCCGCCCTCTGGCCCCTTCCTCTCGGGCCCTGCACCGGCCGCTGCTGCCCTGCCTGACCGGCACAGGCTGTGCGGCTCTGGGCCCGTGGCTCGGTCTCGGCCGGTCCCTGCCCTGCGGGCCCGATAGCGCCTTTGCCGCGGTGTCTGCGGCCAGGGAGCGAGTGGGCCAGGGCAGGACGCCCTCCCCTCAGGCCTGCGGGGCGCCTGCACCCCGACTGCGGGGCCTAGTTTCTCCCGATGACGTTCCTTCGCCTTCTCCTCACCTTCCCTTACTCGCTTTTCTGCTCCTGCTCTTCTCCCACTCGGGACGTTATTCATGTTCTGTTGTTGCGTGGAAGAACTGGGGTTTAGGCCAGAGGTGCAGGAGGTGAGGGACACCCCGAGATAGAGCAGAGCCGGAGGATCCACAGAAACTCACCGCTGAGGGGCAGCGGGGAGACGGGAGGGGTCTGCCGCGCCCTGGGGCCCCCCCGGCCGGGGGTGGGACCAGGGACAGTGCTGAGACTTAAGCCCAAGGCCACCAGGGAGGCGCCCTGGGGCTTCACTGTGACCCGCACCCTGGCGGCGCCCAGGGGGGGCGGCTGTGCGGGGAGGGTCGGCCGGGCCCCGGGGACACCGCCCCACACGGGGCAGTGGACAGGGAGGCAGCGGACGGGGGGAGGCCCAGGCTCAGGCCGCGCGGGCTTAAGGGGGAAGAAGACACAGGCGGTGCCGTTCGCCAGGGTCCGCAAGAACCTCCGCGCTCTGGTGGTCGTCCACGCCAGCTGGTACGTGAAGGCCTTCCTGGCGCTGCTGTGGCCCTTCATGAGGTACTGCTGGGGGGCGCCTGCCCGGCCCCCCGCTCCACAGTCCAGGCTCAGCGGCCTGGCCCGCCCCCTCCTGCCCTCGCCACCTTCCCTGGGGACAAACGCCGCTGGCCCTCTCCCCCCAGCTCCAAGTTCACGCGGAAGATCCGTTTCCTGAGCAGCCTGGGGGAGCTGGCCCAGCTCATCTCCCTGGACCAGGTCCACATCCCCGAAGCGGTCAGACAGTGAGTCTGTGTCCGGGTGCGGGGGGAGGCATAGAGCTGCCCCCACTTTCTTGACGCCTGGGGAACATACGAAGGGACGGGGCTGGAGGCCCCCCTTTAAGCGCTTCACCATACCCGGGAAGCTGCGACCAGGACAGGCCGGAAGGACACACCGTCCTGCACGTGCCCGGCGCGGGCAGCCGCTTCAGCCGGGCAGCAGGCTGCGGGTGCAGGGCCGGCCCCAGCCTGGGGACTAGGGCTCCCCGCAGCAGTACGGTGGGTGGGGCAGGGTGCCAGGGCCTCAGCCTGGCCCTGGGGGCTCTCCAGCTCCCCCCTCCTGTCCCAGGCCAGAGGAAGCCCCCTGCCTGCTGGCCAGCCGGCCTCTAGCGCCCCCTCCCTCCCTGCAGGCTGGACCGCGCCCTCCCCAGCTCAGGAGGGACCTAGCAGGGCCTGGCACCCAGCACCCAGCACCCCGCAGGCGCAGCCCCGCAGCCCGGGGGGCGGGCGGGCGTCCGGCTGCCGGTAATGTCCTCTTCCCCAGAGCGCCCTGGTGGCCGCCGCTGCCAGCCAGGCCCGGGGTCCGGTGGCCCCTCCCGGCCAGGGTGCCTGCCCTCCCACCCCCTTCGCCCCTGGGAGCCGCCTCCCTCCTCCCCTCCTCCGGGCAGAGGGCCTCTGGCTCTGGGGGTCTCCAGCAGCCGGGAAGGGGGCCGCTGGGGCCAGGGGTCAGCCGCTCCCTCCTCGCGGGGTCCTGGGCGCCGAGGGGCGTCGGCGGGCGCTTCTGCCCTGCTGGGCCGACCTGACTGTAGCCGCCAATAAACCGCTTTCCGCCCCCCGTGGCATGGCGTCGTCCGTGGCTTCCGCGGGAGCCGGCGGTCCCGG